TCTTGTTGGTTGGCCATGCAAGGCGGACCACAACACCGGACACTTCACTGACTATTGGAACCCTTGGCTACCACCTGGTACCTTCGATATGTCTGTCAGACACTTGGTTCCCAAACTCGATGCTCTGAACTGCACTGCAGGAGCTCAACTTGGTAAGCACTCAGCCTCAGGTCAACACAGAACCCAAAAAGCACCACGCAGAACCGTGACTCGAAGCACGACTCGAAGCACGACTGGGACTGGCTTGCTCTCGGAGCGTGACTGGGACTGGCTTGCTCTCGGAACGTGACTGGGACTGGCTTGCTCTCAGAACGGTGACTCGATCCGTGACAGGACTCGAATCGGTGACTGGACTCAATCAACCGTGACTGGTTCAGTCTTGTTGTCGGGACCAACTCCTGGCTTCAGACTTGCCTGACGCAGACACAGCACAAGCACTGAACGGCACTTGTGAAGAAGCTGTGTCTTTGTCGAACAATTCTTCTGCCAAAAACAGGAGATTGATCGCACCTCAACGGTAACTTCGAAGTTTGCTAGAGGTGCTACTTTGCTTTTAACTTTTGGCTATGCATTTATTATGAGACTATCTGCAGTTCATTGCTTCTCTGCTGCTTCTTTTGTTTGATAGGCTTCTTGATCATGTATTCAGTAGGATCATAGGTAGCTGCTACAGCAAACAGAACTCCAACCAGAAATCCTGTGTCAATCAGAGTTCACTGATACTCACTGGTACTCAACATCGCAGGTATTTCTTCCAGGAATATCTTTGCCATCAAATCAGAGATCTCTTGTTCATCCAACCCTTTCTTTTCAACTAGATAGCGCAGAACTCCACGAGGGGCACCATAACGGAAGGCGTCCTCGAGCACATCATCTGTCAGTGCTGCCGGATCTTGTTGGTAGGCAGCTTCAACAGCTTGCAATCGAGCTCTTGTAATTGCCAGCACACGGAGGGGCTGCAAATTGGAGATTTCGATGGATTCGCTGGTCATCTTGCTTTGGATCTTTTCCTGCTTCCAGCAATCTTGAAGACAGTGATGGTAGCAATAGTAATACTACTATGACAACAATGACAACAATGACAACAATGGCGAAAGACCTCAGAAGCTTGCAGTTGCGCCTTCGCGCCAAATATCCTGGCGTGACTGATATCCGTGACTGGTTGGTGTTGGGTTTGGTGCAGGGTTCGCTAACCAATCAATTATGTACTGGTTACTGGTTATTGGTTATTCAACCACTCAATTGGGGGTACTGGTTACTGGTTATTGGTTATATAACCACTCAAGCTAAGGTACTGGTTACTGGTTATTGGTTATTTGGCATTGGTTATAGGTTATTTTATAGGTTAGTAACCGGCAACCACTGGTTATATCAGTGGTTGAACCAAAGGAAATTGAACATGGCCCGCAAGACTTGTGTGTTGTTTGCTCCCGTCCCATGTTCAATCCCAATTGCTACACCTTATGCATTGGCATCAATGAAGGCTGCATTAGCAGCATCTTCATTGGCGTAATGCTCCAACTCGTCCAGCATTTCCTGGGTGATATCTTCAGGCTCCTTGCCCTCCTCCTCTGCACGGCTCAATTTCTTCACATGTTCTCTGAGGAGTCTCTTTGTGCGGTTCTCGGCCACCCGCTTCCTTGCAACGCTCACAAGGTGACGGTGTTGGCGGAGGAAGGCACGATTCTTGTAGGTGAGAACCTTCATCTGAAACGTGATGTCTGTTTGCTTGGAGTTGAGCTTTCCATCCATCCACGTGGCGCCACTGAAAGTTCTTTCCTGATCCCCATTACTTTCGGGCAAGGCAAGGACGATGCATGCAATAGGATACAGCAGTGGGAATTCTTCTTTGCCGGTGTCCTCCCACCATTCCATAATGTCAAACTTCTCGGCAATAAAGTCGACGTGTTTGATCCAATCTTCCTTCTTGTTGCCAATTTTGAGGAGCTCGTCCTTATCCACGGGGATTCGTGTCTGCCCTCTGAGGACAGATACAATGTCGAACTTCTCGTTCTTCATCCATTTGTTGATCGCAAGTTCCACCTTGTCAACATCCCCCGTCACTTCTTCCTCTACCGCCACAGTCCCCGTTCTCTGTCGCTTTCTTCGGCGTTGCTCCAGCTTGGACAGGTGTTCTTCGTGTTCCTCCTCCTGTTATGCTCGTGCGGCCACGCATCACCCTGGCTTGTTACAGATGAGAAAGCTCTTCTCTGGACAAGTAGTATGATCGCAACATGCCTCGATATGCTTCCTTAGATGCTGTCTGCCAGGCAGTTATACCCTTGCAACTTCACTATCTACTCATTAAATCGCGGCGAACGCCTTCGAACCAACGCTCGCGGCAGCGCCTTTCCAACTCGGGAAGAACAGTTTGTTGTTGAGAACCGCACGCGGGTATGACCATTCACGCCAAAAAGACGCATTGCGAATTGAAGCTACTTCCTTGCGTCGGCTCCATATACCCCAGAAGTCTCTATGGTGCACAGATTCGATCGACCAAACTGCACACGATTGATTTTGCCCATGGTCCTT